ATGAAATAAAAGGGACAATTCATGCCAAATGAAACGATTTTGTTTGATTGTAATCTGGTTGAAAGGAAGTGAGCTGGTCCTGTCTCAGCCCTCTTGGCGTGAAACGTACCCGGGCGACATGAACCGTTGCTCATGATATCAACCACTGCGCTGTAGTGGTTAGAGCGTCTGCCTGCAGAGCGAAATGTTGGTGCTTCGATACCCGGCCGCGTCATCCCAAAAGACGCTAAAAGATGAAACTTGTTTCCCTACCTGGCGCTCAGCATTAGGGCTAAAACCAGGACTGGTATGCTTAGAGTCAGTATACAGTGTCTGAGTGGAATATCCGTGTTAAACTGCGGCATGGTTTGATCAGTGACAAAGTAGACACAATTTATGGATAACAACGTCTTTAATGTGCCATTATAGCGACCTTTCGATACAGACAAGCATGCGAGTTGCTATATAAGTTCAAGAATCTTAATCTGGACGTTAAACTGTTTCAGAAGCAGCAGAGTGGCACGGGTGGCCAAGTCGTCTAAGGCGCCGCGATTCGCTGTGCAGATTTGCGTCCCTTGGACACGCCAGAAACCTATGATTGTGGGTTCGAATCCCGGTTCGCCCCGATTATGTTTCTAGGTTTGTCAGCACAATACCCGTGCTCGTGGGTTCACCGAAGTGGTAAACATCTGAGACCTGCGTCACTTCGGGCTTTCCTCCCACATAAAGCTGACAGGCCGTGATATAACTGGAATACTGTTAAAAGCGGCGTTAAACCCAACTCACTCACTCACTTCACTCACTCACTCACTCACTCACTCGGAAGCAGCAGCTAATGTTCCAGAGAAGAAACAGGATCCGCGATTGCTCCTTGTCCCCATTGATTCCAACTGCAAGGTTCGTCAACTCGTCAACAACACTTTCAAGGCGTACCCTCATACGGACGTAACCAACGTCATCTCTGTCGCCTATGTCTCATCATCAAAACATATCCTCTTGCTGACAGGAATATTAGGCAAACCAACAACACCAAGTCATCTCATCTCCTGTACATTAGATGTGAAGAACTGTTGCATAATGAAAAACAATGTTGCGGCTGCCTTTAGTGTCGGTGTTGACAATAAGAAGCAGATTTTGTTTCTGGTAAAGATGAAACCTCGCCACAAACGACGCCAAAGCAGAAGGATCACTAACACTTATCTTTTAAGCAGTATGACATTAACTGGAATCCATTTGAATGGTCGTGTTTTTCATTTCAAGTATGAACTATACACAACTGCTGTCGATCCACATAATGCAAGGATATATTTGCATAGCATCCACAGCATAGCCTATTATTCTTATGATACATTTAAAATCAAAGTTTTGGTGCAAGGCAAAAAATATGCCATACAGACAATAGCTGTGGATAACACTGGAGAAGATCTGTATTACAACAATAAACGTCGAGTATACAAGGTCTCTCCCGCTTCGAAGCGGGAACAACTAGCTGTACGAGATACGGAAATGCAAACAAGTGTATATGCCGAAAACAAGATTTATTACACTTGTGGAATTGGGAGAGCGGGATATATTGGTGTACTGAATGTGACGTCGCCAACTCAGCAAAGGAAAATATCAATGTCATTCAGTAAATGCGTGAGTTGGTTGAGGTGTTAAAACTGACAAAAACCTCGTACTCAGTGCATAGATTATGTGGTAGTATATTTACCCTAGGTAGATCAGTCTCTTTGTTTGCACATTAACTGAGACGCGTGTCATTGTGGTTATATGGCATGCTGGAATCCAGCAATTAATAAAGAATATCGAACATTAAAATCAAATTCTGTTTTATTTCTTCTACGTGGCATGCTGGTGAGTTCTCAGAACTCTCTGTGTGTTTGTGTGTGTGAGAGAAAGAGGGAGAGTGTTTGTGTGTGTGTGCTATCTCAATTGGAAAGTTTACTTTTGCTTGCTAGTGCTTGTTTGGTTTATTGACTTATGTGTACGGCATTAATACTCTAGGGACCTCCCAAGTCTAGGAAACGCTGATAGCAAAATTATACCATACACTCATAGAAAGATATATTTCAACAAATAATTTGTAAAGGCTCTTTTCATAATAGCTTTCTTATAAAATATATCACAGATATATAGAGATGAAACCGAGTGAATGTTGTTTAACGCCGCAGTCAGAAATATTTGACTATTCCACTACGGCCTGTGCGTAATCGACAATGGACCAGACAGACCAGTGACCGACAGCATGAGCATCGTTCCACATCATCGGGTTACGATTTGCCCTGTCATGAAATCTGACCGCCTAAACCTCCAAGGACAATATGATGAGTACTTTGCTAAACACACAGCAATATCCCAGCTACATGACGGCGGTCTGTGGATAACTATGTCAGGACCAGCTAAACCAGTGATGTATATTACGAACATCAACCCACGCCGTCGGAGTACGATGAGACGCAAACAACTGAGCTTGACCACCCGATCCACACCGTACAAGCCAAGTTTGCTAGGGACCCATTCTAACACCCACAGCGACATCAACCAAAACAGACCGCCTCCGTGGTCTAATGGTAGAGCGTCCGCCCGGAGAGCGGAAGGTCCGGGGTTCGATCCCCGACCGCGTCATACCAAAAGACGTTAAAAGATGGTACTTGTTGTTACCCTGCCTGGCGCTCTGCATTAAGGGGCTAAAACAAGGACTGGTCGGCTCCGAGTCAGTATACTGTGTCTGAGTGGGGTATTCATGTTAAACTGCGGCATGGTATCTCAGTGGGCTAGCACTATAAATCGGCATCAGTCCGGACTAGTACAAGCAGCCACACACACACACATACACGTCGCTATATAAGTGCAATAATCTTGGGTGAGTAAGTGAGTTGGGTTTAACGCCGCTTTAAACAGTATTCAAATTATATCACGGCGTCTCAGCTGAATGTGGGAGGAAAGCCCGAAGTGAGACAGGTCTCAGACGTTTACCACTTCGGTGAAACCCACGAGCACGGGCATGGTGCTGACAAACCTAGAAACATAATCGGGGCGAACCGGGATTCGAACCCACAATCATAGGTTTCTGGCGTGCCCAAGGGACGCAACTTAGACGACTGGGACACCCGTTAAACCCCATTTCACCTCACCTCAACCAAAACAATCAATTTAAGGGAAAGGCTATATTCCGCTCCATTTATGAGGTCGACCCCGTTGTATTCAATCTTCCAGTAGTTTGATAATGATAAACGTTCATTTGATGCATAACTACATATGGTTTCCGGGTCCCCTTTCAGCGCCAGGGAGTACAAATAGGTTAATTGAAGTGACGCGAGTGGCAAAGAGAACCGCCCACAGCCCAGTAAACAGCGTGCTTGTGAAATAACCAAACTACGTGTAACCTATATCCTAATCTGTGTATATTATCTGGTCACTTTATTTGGAATGGTAATTCCTGTAACCTAATCAGTGTAACTACCTACCCCTCACTGTGTATCGTACCAGGCAACGAAGGTGGCATGGTCATAAGTTGAGTTAAACAGACAGCAGGTGGGGATGTTGATGAATGGCGTGGGAATTGAGTTTCTCTGTAAATAGTAAATAGCTATAGCGGTTCGTAAGTACGTGTTATCGAATCTTAACCAATAAAACCAAGTACGCAATCATTCACTTCACACATTGAAACTTATAATTCATTTTACTGAACTCTTCAGCAAGTTTGGGAATCCCCACACGTGGATATGGAGGGTCATGGAACCTGTTTTGGTCCTTATTTGCCATACGCTTCGTAGATATCTGATCACACTTGCATCACGGTGGTCAGTAGGACATCGGACCTGGGCCAGAGGAAGCAATGGTCAGTAATGTGAGCCAAGGTACGAGCTCTCAGAGTTTTCGTTGAGTCGTTTCCTTGAACATCGTCGCCTTTGACATTTATTGCATCGAGATACTCCGTTCCTGGGACATTGACAGTCTTGAACACTTGCTGCCTGGGAAGATCGTCGCTTTTGACATTTATTGCATCGAGATACTCGGGTCCTGGGACATTGGCTGTCTTGAACACTTGCTGCCTGGGGAGATCGTCGCCTTTGACATTTATTGCATCGAGACATTTGTTTCCTTCGACATTGGCTGCCTTGAACACTAATCATGCTGCCTGGGAAGATCGTCGCCTTTGACATTTATTGCATCGAGACACTCGTTGCCTTTGACACTCGTTTCCAGGGACATTGGCTGTCTTGAACACTTGCTGCCTTGGAAGGTCGTCGCCTTTGACATTTATTGCATCGAGACACTCGTTGCCTTTGACACTCGTTTCCTGTGACATTGGCTGTCTTGAACACTTGCTGCCTGGGAAGATCGTCGCCTTTGACATTTATTGCATCGAGACACTCGTTGCCTTTGACACTCGTTTCCAGGGACATTGGCTGTCTTGAACACTTGCTGCCTTGGAAGGTCATCGCCTTTGACATTTATTGCATCGAGAAACTCGTTGCCTTTGACACTCGTTTCCTGTGACATTGGCTGTCTTGAACACTTGCTGCCTGGAAAGATCGTCGCCTTTGACGTTTATTGCATCGAGACACTCGTTGCCTTTGACACTCGTTTCCTAGGACATTGACTGTCTTGAACACTTGCTGCCTGGGAAGATCGTCGCCTTTGACATTTATTGCATCGAGACACTCGTTGCCTTTTTTACACTCGTTTCCTGGGACATTGACTGTCTTGAACACTTGCTGCCTGGGAAGATCGTCGCCTTTGACGTTTGATACACTCGTTGCTTTGGACGTCGTTGCTAGGTACAAGTATTTCATCGGGACACCTATTGCCTTGGACACTCGTTGGGTTTATTCTACCCGGGAATTTTCTACGAGGGTAATCCAGTCTGATCATATTTTGATAATTATGTTGAGCTCGTCTCAATAACATTACCAGGTGGCCTTTGCGACATCATTGGTAGCAACTACGTTGTAACAGGGACTCGAGTTATACTTCCGGCGGATGTGTACATTTACACTCCTCTATTTAAGTTTCTTGTTACAGTTTATTACCCAGTCAGCGAGCGGGGAGGGGCACATGTAGATATACACGAGCAGACCCTGGATGTACATCTGTGTAGGAAGGAGACCTCTGACTGTTGATGTCAAAATGAACATCCTCATCCTTGGAATGTTAATAGCAGTTGCAGCCTCATGTAAGTGTTATATATTGTATAAGTCACATTTTATGTGTGTTAGAATGAATCACCTTTTAAAAATATTATTCAGGCTTGTTAATAAATGTCCACCCGCCCGCGCTCTACATTATTCTTTTTTTTAAGCACTTTTAAGAAATGACTTCAACTAAAATGTCATTTATGCAAGGGACTCCGACTCTTTTCACCTTCGTGCTGCAGAGTACGTGACCAGATGAATTCATGAGGAACATTGAACTAGGTTTACACATATTTATTTGTAACCTATACTATAGAAATTTAAAACATGGTTATCCCTCCCTACCCAGTCATATTTGAAAGAAAGAAAAATACTTTCTACCTGGCCTTAAATACAAAGAAACACACTCCTTCGCATGGTAGGTATGCCTGTTCTCTTTGCCTTCACACACAGTAATGCAGCCTGCACTACAAATTGGGTTCCGTTGAAATAACAGCAATAGGAAGTAGAAGACGGCGGTGGTTGCCTCTGTATCCGCCGGGGTTCCGGTAATTACATTGTTATAAGGGCCAAACAGATCTAGAGTGAATCCGTTTTGACAGCTTTGTAAAAGCATCATCCGGCGATGAAGTGGTATCAATAATAAAAACAAACAAGGTCACATATAAAAGTTCATTGTCATACAAACCCACACTGAAAGAGTAAATGCTTCTAACAAAATGATTAAGTATAAGAATGACTTTCTTTCGTGTCAAGAAATTCCAATTTAAATATATGGCGATAGAAATACTATTTTTTGTCAATTCATTTTACAGGTGTTTCAAGAAAGGACAAAGTGAGTGAGTGAGTTGGGTTTAACGCCGCTTTTAACAGTATTCCAGTTATATCACGGCGTGTCAGCTTAATGTGGGAGGAAAGCCCGAAGTGATGTAGGTCTCAGACGTTTACCACTTCGGTGAAACCCACGAGCATGGGTATGGTGCTGACAAACCTAGAAACATAATCGGGGCGAACAGGGATTCGAACCCACAATCATAGGTTTCTGGCGTGCCCAAAGGACGCAACTATGCACAGCGAATCGCGGCGCCTTAGACGACTGGGTCACCCGTGCCCCCAGAAAGGACAAAGGTTCTGCTCCATAAAGGAACAGATTAAGCGGATTAGTCTCATCAACAACATGTTAAATTAAGCACGAATTATGTCTTCGTGCTCCACTTCTTTCGATCTGTATCATGTTGGTTACCATATACTCTCCTATTTAACAGTGCCGGTGAAAAGAAACTCGGAACCCCTGCTTATCTCAACGTTTGATTGGAACCATGACGGCATCTTGGATCGGCGCGAGATGAGGATTGTGTCTGCGATCATGTCGGCCATCTTTGCAACTCCAAGACGTCGTATCCGATGGAAGATGAGGCGGGCGGACAGAAACCACGATGGAGTATTGTCTGCTGGAGGTAATATGCTTATATACGCAAAAGCAAAAATAACTTTGAAAATTGTATTTTTGATCACATGATTGTTTTAGATACTCACTGCCGATTCTAAATCCCTTAGGCTTTCTTTTTATATACAAATTCATATTGCCATAAGTAATGTTTTCGTTTTTTAAATACAGTATACTACGAGAGAGAGAGTTTATTGCGGAATGGGCCGGTGGCCCCTTTACTGCAATAAACTCTCTCTCTCTAAACTCTCTCTCTCTACAGTATACTACGTTTATAACGAACACGCTTATAACAATCACACACACACGCACACACAGATGCGCAAACACACAAACACACACACACACATACACACACACACACACACACACACACCTCATACCCTCTCGACTCTCGTTCTGTATCACGTATATAGACTAGAACTACATAGAACGCCACGTAGATGGGACAGGAATTACGTAGAGTCGGGTCCGGACTCAATTACTTACACCCCGCCGTTACATAGCTGGAATATTGTGTTAACGAACAAACAAACAAAGAATGTTTATATTGCGCTAATTCCACACCTTAAAGCATGCTCAACAGCGCTACATTATTACCCCGGTGAGTGGATCAATGTGCACTCATTCTCAGCTCCATGGGGAGTATACAACCCAAGCTGCCTGTGAGACCTACAGAGTTAGCAGTCATATTACCATCTCAACCTACCGTTTAGAATATTGTCGCAAAAGTGACAAAATTTGTAATGGTATCTTTAGTACATTATCCAAACTTTATAATGACCTAATAAGGAAAATGTGACCTTCGAATACAACATTATTTGGGTGGAAAAACCAAAATGGGACGAATTTTAAAAATCAAATTTTTTTAATCATGTGTTTTTATTCCAGAATTCAACAACATGATCGAATCAAACTTTGGGAAATAGTTTTAGGGATGGCGAATGTCGACACTTGCAGTTGTCATATAAAAACAATTTAATGAAATAATAAACTATTGCTTTTTTAATATTTCCTTTTGTGTTTTTATATCAAAACATGGTCGTTAGCTAACTCAATCCTGGTTGAAAATCCCAAGACCCTGTTCAATGTCGTATCCAAATTGCATCGATTCAGCACTTGGGCAGAAGAAAGTATACATTCATGGCTGATGGTGGCTAATACTGAAACAAACACTAAATGGTCATCCGGTGGTGACGTATCTGATACGGTATCAAAGTATGTTTTGGATCTTACACTAGCAGTGTTGCGAAGACTGTTTTCAGCCAAGTAACAGTTTGATAATGTTTATATTATATAATTATTACGTTGCTCATGGGTATTATCACTTCGCGCATATATAATTATCACTTTACTCATAGATAATTATCACTTCGTTCATAGGTAATTATCGTATGTCGGCAAATCACGGTGGAATCGTTGTTTATGTAGGAGTCGCTTTTCAGGAGTTATTCAAGAACCATACTCTTTCCTGACATAGAGTATTCTCTACCGCCCCTTGGATGAGAAAATACACCGGCCACCAGTTGTTCTGGAGTCTGTTATGTTTACACCGCCTGTCCAGCTGAAACTGTGACAGTATTCCGACATAGCATCATGGGGCGATGCAACTCATCGACCACTGGCAGCGTGTTCCTCACGGCAATGATATACCGCACCCAGTCTCTGTCTGACATAACCAGAAGGCTACTGATCCAGGAGCAAGTGTCTTGTCTAATGGAACAGTTGTTGAGTATTATTTACCTACCTTCCGTCAAGTTCCTGAACAACCAGATTCAGATGAAGACGTTTCTTCTGTCGTCGATGATGTTGACTGGTTACTGGTCGCACTAAACTTGAACGTATATCTGGCTATTTTTAAAAGCACGAAATACAAAACTTTAGTGACGAAATTGACCGGTAGCGTGTTCCTCACGGCAATGATACACCGCACCCAGTCTCTTGGAGACGTTTCTTGAAGTTCTGTCGTCAATGATGCTAACGAAGAATGTTACCATGTTGATACTGGTCGCAATAAACTTGAACGTATATCTCGCTATTTTATAAAGCACGGAACACAAAACTTTAGTGACAAAATTTCGAGTTTGAATACCAGTAGTGAGTGAGTGAGTGAATTGGGTTTAACGCCGCTTTTAACAGTATTACAGTTATATCACGGCGTGTCAGCTTAATGTGGGAGAAACCCACGAGCACGGGTATTGTGCTGATAAACCTAGAAACATAATCGGGGCTAACCGGGATTCGAACCAACAATCATAGGTTTCTGGGACGCAACTCTGCACAGCGAATCGCGGCGCCTTAGACGACTGGGCCACCCGTGCCCCCTTTGAATACTAGTAACCATAGCTTTCTTGGATTGCGAATGTTGCTTTGGGAATATTGCCTGTGTTACATGATAACTATTCAACCTTCTCGTGCCAGGGGTTTGGATATCCGGACGCCAAATCTACGACTGCGTGGAGGGTTGTACTAGTTGGACTACAGTGGTTACTTGGACTTATCGCTAGTATCGGTTTCCTCTGCAAGACCACACGACACGGGCGTACTGTACTCACGGGAACACACGAACCCGTCCGAAAACTGAAACTCGCAAAGTTCGTTTTTGCTATCTCTTTATTTCAATTGGTTAAATAACGGCCATTTTAGACTTTCTTCGATCTATACAACCGCCTCATACAACCTGTCTAATATGAACATAGGTTTTCAACTCCTTGAATTTTGACTAAGTTTTATTCCAATTAGGGGGCGGTCAGGTAGCCTCGTTGTTAAAGCGTTCGCTCATCACGCTGAAGACCCGCGTTCGATTCCCGACATGGGTACAATGTGTGAAGCCCATACTCACTAACTATTCCAATTTGAAAGTGGTTATCTATCCCGTCCTTTATACTCCAATGCGGAAAACTGCCAACAACATGTTCTGCAGACGGACCAATATGGTAGACGCTACCAGAACAGCCACTATGGCAGCATTGGGTGAGTGAATCTTATTTACTCCCGCAGTCGGCAACATTCCGACTGTATTGCCGCATTGTGTTAATAATCGAGTCTGGTCCAGACAACTCATCACTGCAAGCATGATTAACAATCTATGTCACTCAAGATGCCCTTGCTGACCACCCAATCCTCTTTAGTGGACTCGGCGGACGTGGAAAGACAAAAGACGTGTTGGAAAGTACAATAGGCAGAATCTGGAAGACCATTGGCGTATTGTTGAAATGCGCCAATGGTGTATCACCACAAAATTATGTGAAGGACCCATCTGTTCTGAGTCCAAAGAAAGTCCGAAGTACTAATCGTATAATAACCCATCTTTGTGTGATAAACAGGGGTTTTGAATATCACGTCAATCCGGAAATGTTTTAAGCTCCCTCCTCCGGTTAAGGAGTGTTCGATGTCATATCTTAGAGTCAGAATTCCCTGATACATCTGTATTGAGAAACACTAGGAATTTAGGATAGGAATACAGGTCCCCAGCAACCAATGCTTGTAAGACGCGACTTAATGGATCGGGTGGTCAGGCTTAATTGCATCTCAACACTTTCAATTTTTATTATTTCATTATGTGGAGTACGTGGCTGAACAGCAAACACACTAGACAAGCATAGGTTACGGGTTATCGGGTACTGCTATTATTCTGCCTCGAAAGCATCACGGGGGTAAGTTCAAAGTTGCCAGCTTCCTACCCGACTGTGTAGATCGTTGATCACCACATCTATCACTGGATTGTCTGCTCCTGCCGCTGTTATATAGATGGAATGTTGCTTAATGTGGCGTTAAACAACAAACACATTCAACAGTAATAAAAGTGGTAACAAGAGTCATCAGAAAGATGACATATCCCCCCGGCTGTAAAGTAACCACAAGTAAATGTGCAATTCTGTATGTAATGAGTCAAGAGTTGAATGTTCTTGAAGAGGCATACATTGTTTACCCACTGAATGGTTTTCGAATTCTGGTCCGGAAACGAACCCGTTCCCCAATGGAGTCTATGTCCAACTTCATTCCATAAAAATTTAAAAAAATTAAAATTAGAAAAATCCCAAAATATCAAAAGGCACCAATTCAGTATGTGCCTGATAGATTTGCCAAGTTTCAATCAAATACACTGAATGGTTTTCGAATTCTGCCCCGGAAACAAACCCCATCCCCAATTGAGTCTATGTCCAACTTCATTCCATAAAAAAAATTTAAAAAATAAAAATTAGAAAAATCCCAAAATATCAAAAGGCACCACTTCAGTATGTGCCTGATAGATTTGCCAAGTTTCGATCACATACACTGAATGGTTTTCGAATTCTGCCCCGGAAACGAACCCCATCCCCAATTGAGTCTATGTCCAACTTCATTCCATAAAAATTTAAAAAAATTAAAATTAGAAAAAATCCCAAAATATCAAAAGGCACCACTTCAGTATGTGCCTGATAGATTTGCCAAGTTTCAATCAAATACACTGAATGGTTTTCGAATTCTGCCCCGGAAAAGGCTATATCCCCCCGCATTATATGCCGGGGGTATAAAAATGGACATAATTCACAAATGTTTAAGTTTATTCAATTCGATGACCAGATTGAATCCAGGAAGTTTTGTTTTGCATGAGGCTGCTTGTAGATCATTTTTGCACACAATTAAATACCAACCAATTTGGACCCGTGAAGATTCGGGTAGAATAGGTCTTCAGCAACCCATGCTTTGCATAAAAGGCTACTATGCTTGTCGTAAGAGGCGACTAACGGGATCGGGTAGTCAGGCTTGCTGAATTTGTTATTGCATGTCATTATTTCCCAATTGCTCATGATATCAATCACTGGATTGTCTGGTGCAGACTTGATTATTTACAGACAGCCGTCATAAAGCTGGAATATGCTGAGTCCGGCGTTAAACAACAAACAAATCAATATGAGGTCATTAAAATTATCATTAAGTAGTTTGTGTGCTGTCATGCGTGCATGCGTGCGTGCGCAAGCGGCATCATTCCAGCTAAATGACGGCGGCCTGTAAATAATAGTCTAGCCACACGGTCAGGTGGTTAATTTTTGATATTTTGAGCAAAACATTGCTGTTGGGGTACGATGACATGCAATGAACCAAATCACAGAGTCTGACCACCTGATGCATTAAGTCGCCTCTTACAACCAGCATATGTTACTGAGAACCTATTCTAACCCGGAAAACCCTCGGGTTGAACATAAAAAAATCCCATTATGCCTGATCAAAGTCTCCCCTAAACATCAGTCAATAAGGCTTTGCACTATCCACCATTCTACTCCATGAATAGACGATCTTCTAACAATATCATTGGTGATTGAGATGGGTTGGGAAGAAAAGCGACAAAACCCTTTCAATTTTCATAAGAAAGAAACCCCTGCTAAAAGCAGTGTCCAGTGTGTTTAAGAATCCATGATTATGGCAGGTGTTTGCAAAAAGGTGAGCGTATCCTGCTCCACCAGTGGCACAATCACAAACACATGCAAAGGCAAGTGAATTGTTCACCTGAAAACAAAGAAACATATGGTACAAGTCAAAATAGGGAATGGCATCAGTTATCCAAGCTTGTTTTGACAGTATTTCAATTATTTACAAGTGTCAACTTTCTGTGGGAAGAAACCCCAAGGCCAAGGTCATAATAGCTGCAAATTTACTGTTCAAACCAAAGACCAGCAGATCCTGACATGGCAAAGGGCTACAACTCTCCATAGCAAATTACAGCACCTGAGCCCACTGGATGCCTCCTCAAGCAACACACTGGCAGCCATGTTGAAAATTGTAATTTTGATGAGGTGTTCTGTGTTCAGTTGAAGTAATACGCTGATGAAATGAATGTACTTTAACTCATAACAACAAATGTCTCCCCTTCCCCCTTTGAGATACATTAGTTCAATTTGTTACTATAAATGTGTTTGCAATTCCGAAAAACAATAATAGCAAATTATAGCCTTGAAGGCTTAGAGTTTTGGCGAGAAACAACTGCTAGTTGTTAGTGTTTAAAGTGATAAGTATGAAAAGAAGCATATGGTCATTGCCCATGTATAGTTTCATGCAAAAATATTCATTAATCGCTTGAGAGTCATGGCTTGGAAAAGAAGCTATTTGAGACAAAGTCTAAATTGTTTCCATGCTAACATAAAAAAATGTAATTTCAAAAAATTTCAAAATAGCAAAAGACACCAATTGAGCAATGCACATGAAAAGTGAAGGTGACATCTGTTGAAAGGTTTTCATGTTATGGCTCGGAATATGATGGGAACGCAAACGCAGACGCCAACGGAATGAGCCAAAAATAATGTGTTCCCTCCCTTTGAGGGGCAGACATAATGATCACCAGCAATATTCAGCCAGGATGAGGAAGCAACACATGTCAGTTTCAGCAGTGTTTTAATATTCAGCAGTCACAAAAGATGACAGAGATTTACAATCATTATAGATATAATAAAAATTTACATTTTATATATTTTCAAAAAAAGATCAAATAAAACTGTCCCCAAGGATATTACAGGGTGTCAATATTCTAAGTTCGTAAGGTCAGAACCAAACTGAGGCCTGAAAAATAACAAAGGTGGCGAAGTGACATCAGCTCTGGCATGACATCTCTATCATGACATGATATCACACTGACAACTCTGACATGATATCATCACATCTCTGGCATCACCATGACATCTCTGACATGACATGACATCATAATGACATCTCTATCATGACATGATATCTCACTGACAACTCTGACATGATATAATCACATCTCTGGTCTCACCATGACATCACCATGACATCTCTGACATGACATCAAGACATCACCATGACATCTCTGACATGACATCAAGACATCTCTGGCATGACAAAATGACATCATGACAATACATTATGATCAATTTTCTCCAACAAGTATGAAAATCTGCCCAGAATAAAGATGTGACATGCAAACATTCTAAAACTTTTTCATGTAAAATTAGAAAACACAGTGTCAACAGATTAAATAAAGAACAAATGAAATGAAAGAAAACTAATATTCTAGTGGATAAATCAAAAGATTATTTCTCTTCACACATTGACCATGATTGACTTGTTTTTTCTTTATTACTGAAAACCCTTTACTGACGCTTCTCAAAAACAAATTCCACAATCGTGAAAATTTGGGGCCAGGGATCCATTTACAAAGTATAAAAAAATAGTTTTTAAAACATGATATGAAAGTGCACATTATATCCATGGCTTATTTACACTTCATTTGAGATTTGATTAAACTATACAAACTGTATATGTACAATTTGTACAATGAAAAGTGCAACAAATATCATGCGTAGGTAGTTCACTTCAACCACTTTCACTCATACTTAGACCTAGGGGGACTAAGGGGCAAATCTCATGTCGGGGACCAATAGAAATAGGTTTGTACGCATGTGGGCATACAAACTTGGGTCTTCCACATGAGCAAACACTTCAACCACTAGGCCACCCCAGTGCCTTGTAAGTAGAGAGCAATGTCCCCTTAGACAGTCATAAATAGACATTCACAAACGTAACTGTCCACAAGTTGGGGCATCCAGACTAATAGTGTCCAAACTAACAGGGTTTCACTGTTGCCATGGACACTGCTGGATTCTACAAAACTACAATTCATCAAATAGAATTTTTGTAAAAGGCAACACATTTTATCACAAAACAGTATCTAAATAAGTCAGTTTCCATCCCAACTTAATGACTATAAAAGCTCCACTAGCATAAAATGAAATTTCTACTTTGCTAAATATGATGGTAGACTTCCACACAAATGCATTAAACCACAATACTGCTTCTGAGTTGTTTTGACAATACTTTTGAGATGCGAAATTTTAAATCAGTGTGCCGATATTAACAGGTAAGATGAACTTGACATTGCAAAACTATAAAAAAAATCATTGAAATCAATTTCTTGCATCATCATCATCATCATCATCATCATCATCATTATCATCATCATCATAGTGATGGAACAAGTCCAGTTAAGGGCGTCCCCTATTTCTGAAGATCAGAGAATATTCTAGGGAGTGATTAAAGTGGCATGACAAGACCATGGCAGAAATCTGTTGTCCACTGACAGGCAGTCACGTATTTGAGTGATCCCCCTCCCCACTTTCAGGTAGTCAATTGTACACGTGACAGGGACCCGTCTACCCCTCTTCCTCTACTGATGAGTGATGTGCCAGACATTATTAGCACTATTTCAATGCTGCATGATCAACGAACAAATGGACATGAAAATGTTGTATTGAGATCTGCAGACATGAAATATAAGTGCTTATCACAATAGGTTGGCATAGGTTGGAGTGTAATACTGACAAACGTAATGGTCAATAACAAACAAAGATGTCATGTAATAAAAGCAAGTATGTCATGAAATTACAAGAGATTTTCATCCTTCCATAAAACAAGTTCCTCTCACACCCTCAACAAATGAAATACATAATCTCATAATATATCACACATCTTTTTATCTTTTAAATAGCATAGTGGTATTTATCATTTATCAATAGATTGGATATGTCATTCCAAATATTTTGTCTTACCACAAATATATATTTTTGATGGTCGTGGTAGTGTGTGGTGTGTGGTGTGTGTCTGTGTGTGTGTGTGTGTGTGTGTGTGTGTGCAGGTGTGGGGGGGTGGGGGGGGGGGGGGGGTGGGGGGGGCAAGAGGGAGACTGAATTTTGGTATGGGTTGGAATGTGTCAGAAATAAGACATTTTTTGAGAGAATAACCACGATAAATTTTAAAATATGACCTGCTCACAATACTACTGAATAGCATACAGAAGACTGCATGAATACCCATCATCGATATGACACACAGATCTGCAAATGCTAGGACACATCCATTTCCCCACACAACTGGTGTTCACAGCTTTTCAATGTTCATCTCCCGACATGATACATCGGCCGAGATACGCCATCCATCCTAGGATATGACGCACATCCATCCCTCCTCATCCTCCTTTGTTGGGGGCAACAGATCTGGAGACGGCTCCTCAAAGTCTTGTGGGAAATACAACCTACAAATAGACATATTTCATTGGTTGGTTGGTTGGTTTGTTATTTGTTTAACACTGCAGTGCAGTAGTTACAATCCAGATTAATGACCACTGCCTTTAGTAAGCCAAACAAAACAGTGGTTGATATTATGAGCAGCAGACCACACCTATGAGGTACGATGACACACAATCAACCTTGTTACTAAACCTGGACACCCGATCCATTGACTCACTTGTCACAACAAGTCTAACCCAACCTGTGCTTTCTTATGGCCTGTGGGGTCAATCTGCATCTGCACTTATTCTGCCTGAAATTCCCATGTGAGTCAAACATTGGTTCCTTGGCAACTACTCTGCATGGAATTCCTATGTGAGTCAAACATTGGTTCCTTGGCTACCACTCTGCATGGAATTCCCATGGGAGTCAAACATTAGTTCCTTGTCAACTATTCTGCATGGAATTCACATGGAGGTCAAACTTTGGATCCTTGGCAACTATTCTGCATGGAGTGAGTGAGTGAGTATGTTTTACGCCGCTTTTAGCAATATTCCAGCGATATCACGGCGGGGGACACCAGAAATGGGCTTCACACATTGTACCCATGTCGGGAATCGAACCCGGGTCTTCGGCGTGATGAGCAAACGCTTTAACCACTAGGCTACCCGACCGCCCCTATTCTGCATGGAATTCCCATGTGGTCAAACATCGGTTCCTTGGCAACTATTCTGCATGGAATTCACATGGGTGTCAAACATTGGTTCCTTGGCAACTAGCTTTTAAAATTGGTAGAATGAATTTATATCTGAGTTTGTTAATGGCTGTATCCTCAAACGGGGTCTACGTAGTGTAAAATTATTGTTCCCCTGAGAGGATATCGTAAGACCATGTCATTCAAAGAATAGTTCTGCCTACTACTCTTTTAAACGTAGTATATTTGTAATTATAATTGTGGCTAACTTTGCGTACAATTGCTAGTTGCTGAGGGGATGATGTAAATCCGGCTGGGGTCCATGCAGGAAGCTAAAGTACTGTAAGTCCCCATGGTCCCTAGTATGGTGATCTACCTTCAGTTGCTGGCGATCTACAGCCCATTTTTATAATGTGATGTTATGTTTAGTGCTATAAATTTTATGATTCCATATTAGTTTAAAATATATTTCTGTGATAAGTCTAGTTATTTTACTGTCCTTCGTTTGGCAGGTTTTTATTTAAGTTTCAATATATGTATTATGTTCAACACTTGATAGTCACGATATGGCTGAAATATTGCCGATGTGACTTAAAATTTTAACTCACCCATATATTGGATCCTTGGCAACTATTCTGCATGGATTTCCCATGGAGGTCAAACATTGGTTCCTTGGTAAATATTCTGCATGGAATTTCCATTGGTGTCAAGCATTGGTTCCTCAGGACCTATTCCCCTCTACTATACCAACATGAGACATGAATGAGGAACTATTCATCCCCAGCAACCCCCTGGGGGGCGTGTCTGAGACAGACCTACCTGATACAGGTGAGCTGATACCTCCCGCTGGACTGGTTCTTCGTTGTATCCACTCTGTCCTCAGCAACCCCCGTCCCCCAACTCTCAGGGTTCACCATGTACTGAACAGACTCCATACTGAGGAGGGGGGTCTCTGTAACCATGGAAACATATGTTACTGTAGCATTTCCTAATTTCACTGAAACCACAATATGGTGAATAATTTAAACATCTACAATGTCACACTCCTATAGAAAAATTCATACTCTTGGTGTCGTAATTCTGAGTTCATGCAATATTCATGTCAAGCATTAGACAGATAAATAAAATAATAAAGGTTACTCAGTATTAAGAATTTGTGCATGATTTGATTTCCATAATTTACCTGGCATTCAAAAATGCCATTACAGAATGATAGTTTGGTCACATGAAAATACTTTTTTCTATGGAAGAGCCTGCACCTATGCTTTAATTTTGTAACAGTTAAAAAAACACAATCAAATTGGTGTTTGATTAAAAGGTTTTTTTGGCAATTTTGTTAACACTCATATTTAAAACATTAGGCTCGCTGACTTAATTTTGCATGTCATCGCATCCCAACTGTGTGGATCGATGCTCATAATGTCAATCACTGGATTTTCTGGTCCAGCTCGATTATTTACAGACCGCCATCATATTGCTGGAATATTGCTGAGTGCGGCATTAAACAACAAACAAACTTCAAATTCCCTTCTATTCTGACTCTCTACCCATGCTTTCATGTTTGTGAGTGGATATAGAAAAATAGAAAAATCCAAAATAAATAACAACAAATCTACTAACGTGTGACATTGAGCCAGGCTATGACTCTCTGCATGGTCTTGGAGAAACACTCGAACACTTTGCCAGTCTGGTTTTTGCGGACCGGCACAAACAGCCTGCTTGTCATATTGGTGGTGGGCGTGGCATCCAGGGAGGTCACCTTCTGTTTCTTCACGTAGTAGATCCGCAAGACCTTCAAGAACTGGCAGCTGTCCTCGAATGCCATCTCGCCATATCCAGAAGAATCGGAGTCAAACTCTATGTTGCCTGGAAGAGAACAGGGTCTGAGTGAATGTTGTTTGACGCTGATATTTCAGATATATTGTGGTGGCCTGTGAACAATTCTGAGCCACATAAACCAGTAGTTGATAGACCCTTGAAGATCCGTGTAGAGGATAGATCTTCAGCAACTTATGCTTGCTGTAAGAGGTGACTATGCTTGTCATAAGAGGTGAATAACTGGATCCGGTTGGTCACAAATGCATGGTTCGATGCTCATGATGTCAATCACTGGATTGTCTGCTCCAGACTCTATTATTTACAGACCAACATCATATAGTTGGAATATTGCTGAGTTTGGAGTTAAACAACAAACAAACAAACAGTGGTTGATAGCATGGATGTCCATGCAGTAGAGGTGCAAGTTTAACATTGTTATCCCCTGATTCAATTTGTGAGGTCTTACAATCCTGGAACACTGGGTCTATACTCTGCTCCAGAATCCCATGGAAGTCAAACATAGGGTATTTGGGACATATTCTGACCCAGAATCCACACAGGGAGTCAAGCATTGGGTGTTTGGGACATATTCTGCCCTAGAATCCACACAGGGAGTCAAGCATTGGGTGTTTGGGACATATTCTGCCCTAGAATCCACACAGGGAGTCAAGCATTGGGTGTTTGGGACATATTCTGACCCAGAATCCACACAGGGAGTCAAGCATTGGGTATTTTGGACATATTCTGCCCCAGAATCCACACAGGGAGTCAAGCATTGGGTGTTTGGGACATATTCTGCCTCAGAATCCACACAGGGAGTCAAGCATTGGGTGTTTGGGACATATTCTGACCCAGAATCCACACAGGGAGTCAAGCATTGGGTATTTTGGACATATTCTGCCCCAGAATCCACACAGGGAGTCAAGCATTGGGTGTTTGGGACATATTCTGCCTCAGAATCCACACAGGGAGTCAAGCATTGGGTGTTTTGGACATATTCTGCCTCAGAATCCCCATGGGGAAAGAGGACTGACGGTAGAGTGACTGACAAGACATCGCACTTTACCATTGTTGGCTTTTACAGAACCACATCAGAACAGCACAAAGAAACATCTGAACCAAACTGGCTACACTGTGGCAATCTTCACCATACCTTTATTCAATATCCATATGGTTCATCACATGTTCAAGTTAAGCTAGATCCTGCAAATTCATATGAACAGCTCTGGTGATTATGTCTATGCATAATAAGGGACTGGTCATTAATTATAGAGGGTGGTGGGGCGGTGGGGCGGTGGGATTGGTCTTAGGACTGTACCATATTTTGCTGACCCCTCCTCCCCTACCGACATTTTATGAAACATTTCTTTCATGAACCCCCCACCCCCACCTCTCTCCTCCTTATGATACATGACCAGTCATTCACAGAAGACAAGCTGCAAACTGCCTGCAGCATCACTAGATATTCAATCATCGTGTCATGTGGAGCAGCTGTGCCAGAAACAATTTTACGTCTGTTTCAACCGATACTCGCACTCAACAGATAACCACTTGTTTTCTTTCCTCATGGTGGTACATGACCCAAAACTGCATCCTCCCAGCACTTGCTGATACGCCCAACAGTGTATGTTGTGTAGAACTGATTTTAAACTACTGACATTAGTCTACAAATGCTTCAATGAATCAGCCCCATTGTAACTGATGGAACTTTTGCCTCTATAAGCCATCTAGATCTCTCCATTCTGAAAACAACACTTGCTGCAAGTTCCAGAAACCTGCTTGAAGACTTTGGTCACAGATCTTTCGAATACTATGCTTCAACACTTTGGACCAATCTACCAACAGAACCTTAGCTCTCACCATCACTCCCATCATTCAAGGCACCTCCAAAGACCTACTACAAATGTGTGTACACGGAACAGATACCTACCGTTGGGAAGCTTCAACACTTTGACATCGATAGTCTGCACATTGACCACCTTGATGCCCTGAAACAGAATGTTCACCACTTAATAAAAACTAACACCAAACTATTCTCGATGATCCAGTGTAATTGTTTTTCACTTTAGGATGAAGATACCCTGACCTATCCACTAGAACATCTTTATCATAAGCATCTGCCAACAGCTGGAATTTGTCTCGTGAGTTCTACAACCAATCAAAATGGCTCTTGTGTTTTAATAAGTCATAAAACTATGTATGACGTATAAACTGGAGCATTTATGTTTATTTGTTGTTTAACGCCGCACTCAGCAATAATCCAGCTATATGACAGCAGTCTGTAAATAATCAAGTTTTGGACCAGACAATCCAGTAATTGATGTCGACAGCATCGGTCTACACAATGTGGAACAGATGTTTCCCTGGTAAGGATGGGGCTTTATGCAACCAGGCACTCCCATGTGTAGTTTGAGATGGTATGTAACAAAGCAAGTTAAACTTTGGTGATATACAAACCTTGCACTTCCAGAGCCCTTTTCAAGGTAACTTCTGTGCTAACTCAAGTTTTATGAATAGGTAAATCTGACAATACTATGATACAATGTGTCAATGGCCAAGTCCAGATCTGAACTGGGATGGCACCCTACAAGGAGTGAGTGAGTATGTTTTTTACGCCGCTTTTAGCAATATTCCAGCAATAAAATGGCGGAGAACACCAGAAATGGGCTTCACACATTGTACCCATGTCAGGAATTGAACCCGGGTCTTCTGCGTGACGAGCGAACGCTTAAACCACTAGGCTACCCGACCGCCCCACCTGACAAGGAAGTACAGAAGCTACTGTATGCAGGTCCATCAAGTATACGCTCATATTCTTTACATTCATGGTAGCTCCAGGACAAACCTGTTGTTTCTTCAGCCAATCAGAGGCTTTCTGCACTGTTGACCTGTAGGTGGCGAACTTTAACCTCTGGATCATCCCCTCAGTGTTGCAGGTGTAGTCTGGGATGATGTCCTTGGCCCCTGGGAAAAACACATGCTGCATTGTACAGGGGCTAGCTTGGGAATACTTCATAGCACTAGTAGTAACTATCACAAGTAGTAAATAGCACACATAGTTTGTTTGTTTGTTTGTTTTTCAAGCTACACTCAGCGCTATTCCAGCTATATGAATGCAATCTGTAAATAATGGCGACTGGAACACACAATCCAGTGATTGACATGAGCATCCATCTACGCAATTGGGATATGATGACATGCATCGACCAAGTCAGTGAGCCTTACCACCTGATCCTGTTTATCCTCTTACAAGCATGGGTTGCTGAAGATCATTTCTAACCAAGGATCTTCACGGGACCACAAGTAGTAAATAGTTTTAGCAGACACAAAATAGTGCGCCCTATGATCTAAAATGTCCCGATTATATCTCACTTACAGATTGCCAATATCTCCCAACAATTAGTATTCTTGCATACAATAAGTCAATGTCTCCCAGTTCCTGCCTGCATCTCACCTACATGCTGCCAATATCTCTCAATGTCTGGCAACATCTCACCTACACACTGCCAATATCTCTCAATGTCTGCCTGCATCTCACCTATGAACTGGGTACATCTCACCAACCACCAGGTCATTATTCCAAGTATCTAGAATATCTCACCTAGTGTCTCAAATGCTGGTTCTCCGATGACGTAGAATATCCTGAGAGCGAACACAAACAGCCGATTGGTCCTCCCTGTCTCCACCGAGCAGGTAGTCTCGGGGTTGGGTTTGCTGTCCGACATCAGGAGTTTAATGGTCTCCACATTCAGAATCTCACCTGCCAGGAGAAGAGTAGGTTTACTTATCAAGAACAATGACATAATGAATGACCCCCTACTCCTCCAATCTTGTAGACAGTGATCAGAGTTGATTTGGATTCAGATCTGAGGGGCTAATTATAATGGTAATTATTACCCATGAAGGCATAAAACATAAAAACATATCGGGGTTCATAAAAATCGTATGTGCCCTAGTGTCATATCATGTCACGAGACGACAGCGTATTGTTTCTGTCATCCGGACAGCATTTTTTACGTCATTCGAATGTTATTGTAACGTGAGATCGGAATGACATCACGCTAGAAACGATGTCATAGCTGAAGATTGTTGACGTCATTTGACAAATTGTGGTTCCGCTACGGTTGATACTTGCTGTCCTTATAGGTAAACACTAAAATTTGTCTTGGTGAGTAGACATCTTCTTTTATACATTATATTTGTGTTCATGTCATACTATGTTTACGATACTCGTGCATAAAGTCCACTCATGTCTTAAACACAGTATGACATGAACACTCGTATAATAATCTCTACATAGTAGGGCTGACCTACACTAGGAGTTTCACAGTACAACTGACCTCACACTACCAACCTTGCAATACAGCTGACCTCACACTACCAACCTTGCAATACAGCTGATCTCATACTACCAATCTTGCAATACAGCTGATATCACACTACCAACCTTGCAATACAGCTGATCTCATACTACCAACCTTGCAATACAGCTGATATCACACTACCAGCATTGCAATACAGCTGATATCACACTACCAGCCTTGCAATACAGCTGATATCACACTACCAACCTTGCAATACAGTTGATATCACACTACCAGCCTTGCAAGACAGCTGATATCACACTACCAACCTTGCAATACAGCTGATCTCATACTACCAACCTTGCAATACAGCTGATATCACACTACCAGCATTGCAATACAGCTGATACCACACTACCAGCCTTGCAATACAGCTGATATCACACTACCAACCTTGCAATACAGCTAATATCACACTACCAACCTTGCAATACAGCTGATCTTATACTACCAGCCTTGCAATACAGCTGATATCACACTACCAGCCTTGCAATACAGCTGATATCACACTACCAGCATTGCAATACAGCTGATATCACACTACCAGCCTTGCAATACAGCTAATATCACACTACCAACCTTGCAATACAGCTGATATCACACTACCAACCTTGCAATACAGCTGATCTTACACTACCAGCCTTGCAATACAGCTGATATCACACTACCAACCTTGCAATACAGCTGATCTTATACTACCAATCTTGCAATACAGCTGATATCCCACTACCAACCTTTCAATACAGCTGATATCACACTACCAGCCTTGCAATACAGCTGATATCACACTACAAGCCTTGCAATACAGCTGATATCACACTACCAGCATTGCAATACAGCTGATATCACACTACCAACCTTGCAATACAGCTGATCTTACACTACCAGCCTTGCAATACAGCTGATATCACACTACCAACCTTGCAATACAGCTGATCTTATACTACCAATCTTGCAATACAGCTGATATCCCACTACCAACCTTTCAATACAGCTGATATCACACTACCAGCCTTGCAATACAGCTGATATCACACTACCAACCTTGCAATACAGTTGATATCACACTACCAGCCTTGCAAGACAGCTGATATCACACTACCAACCTTGCAATACAGCTGATCTCATACTACCAACCTTGCAATACAGCTGATATCACACTACCAGCATTGCAATACAGCTGATACCACACTACCAGCCTTGCAATACAGCTGATATCACACTACCAACCTTGCAATACAGCTAATATCACACTACCAACCTTGTAACACAGCTGATCTTATACTACCAGCCTTGCAATACAGCTGATATCACACTACCAGCCTTGCAATACAGCTGATATCACACTACCAGCATTGCAATACAGCTGATATCACACTACCAGCCTTGCAATACAGCTAATATCACACTACCAACCTTGCAATACAGCTGATATCACACTACCAACCTTGCAATACAGCTGATCTTACACTACCAGCCTTGCAATACAGCTGATATCACACTACCAACCTTGCAATACAGCTGATCTTATACTACCAATCTTGCAATACAGCTGATATCCCACTACCAACCTTTCAATACAGCTGATATCACACTACCAGCCTTGCAATACAGCTGATATCACACTACCAGCCTTGCAATACAGCTGATATCACACTACCAGCATTGCAATACAGCTGATATCACACTACCAACCTTGCAATACAGCTGATCTTACACTACCAGCCTTGCAATACAGCTGATATCACACTACCAACCTTGCAATACAGCTGATCTTATACTACCAATCTTGCAATACAGCTGATATCCCACTACCAACCTTTCAATACAGCTGATATCACACTACCAACCTTGCAATACAGCTGATATCACACTACCAACCTTGCAAGTCAAGTGAGCTAATAAGAAAACATATTCAAGAGATCTCATGCAAGTCTAGATTTCTTCAGTGTCAGGTTGATGTGGTAGGAAAGCCCAAAGTAACGTTTACCAATAAAGTAAAATCCGAGAGCACATGCACGGTGCTCACAAACCTAGAAACATAACAGGGCAAATCTGGGAATTTAACCCCCAAAAAATGTATCTGCTTCAGACACTCCTATGGCATGCAACACAGACTCAGTGTTAATACAGTAACCAAGAACAAACACCATCTTCAACAGGGCCACTTTAGCTCACCAGAGATAGGGTTCAACTGGAACTGCCTGAAGAGTTTCTCCAGAGTCTTGCTCAGGGAGTTGAACTGCCCAAACAGCTGTGCCCCGCCAAATCGGAAGCCGGTCTGCTGGTTGAGGATGTTGGAGACGACGTCCGCAACACTGCCCCCTCCCTGGGCGTTCTCCTCCGGCAACACAGATATGTACGACAGCTTCTGCACAGGAGCATCTGGGTTCATCTTCGGGGTCAGCCACAGCCTGAACAAACATAAGTTACATTCACCAACTGGTGTGTTCAACATATCAAGAGCCCTGGGTCTCGTCCAACAAAGTTACATTCACCAACTGGTATGTTCAACATATCAAAAGCCCTGGGTCTCGTCCAACAAATTTACATTCACCAACTGGTGTGTTCAACATATCAAAAGTCCTGGGTCTTGTCTGACAAAGGGATCTTTGCGATTTTCGTAAGTCTATGCTAAAGTATGGGAGTTACAATCGTCTTATCACTAAGATCACTTTGTGGAACAGGGCCCATGGTCCAGACTCAAACAAAACCAACTAGCATGTTCAACATATCAAGAGCTGTGGTCCAGTAAACATCACTCTATGCAAAAAAGTATATTCTAAATTTAATTACAACAACTAAAGATTAACTTTGTCTGTTTTTATTATGCTTTTATCACAATCTCATTAAACATGTTAAAGTCAGATCTTTCACTCTGATACATCTCTGAGTGAAGATCTGTCAAACCCTCCTTTGGAAATCATGTTAGTTTGCAATATATGTTTGTTAGATATAGATAAGCTTAACAGATACAATGGAGTCTGCCAAGTGTTGGTAGTATGGGTTTAGTCTGACCTGAGTCCCATGAGGAAGGCATTGTTGCCATGACTGGACAAGTGGATGAAGACAGCGTCGTTGTCAAGTTGGTAGTCGTGGTTGTTGAGCTTCTTCCCCACCGTCTCACACTTCCACACTGTGTACTGCGGCATGGACTCCAACCACTGGTTTGCCTGCTCCACCACCGTCCTGCACCACAACAACCATGCATTTTAGTCGGAAAACGATACGATACGTATCACGATACACGGGTCACGGTACGATTCATATCCAAATACACATGTTTACGTCAAACAGCATGGAAATGTCTTGACAATATATATTTCAGAGCAGATTTTAAAGTAAAAGTTAACTTTAGACATATGTTCGTAGCAGCTATTCTTAGTAGTGAACTTGAAACGCTAATCACAATACATTTTGCGATATTTGACTGACAAAAAATCATTCACATCTAGGGTTCATAACGTGCCATAGTCTATTTCTAAAAGAGAAATATTGCTTCCTGCCAACTTCATTTTCACATTTTTGAAGGATTGCTTATTTACCTCAGGTTCTGTATAGAATGATTTTTGCCTTGCAGAGGTTGAAACATGTAAGGTTACTTATGAAGAGCATTACATAGATTGGTTCTTAACAGTTTTGCATTGTGTCATATTTATGATATGTAGAGGCGGTTTGCAAATCTGGCGATTCTATTTTTGGCTGATAGCCACATTGGGATTTCCCTTTTGTTACATTCCTGATGTCATTCCAAAAATAGATAACAAAAAAGACAATATTTCTAAAACTGTTATCCATATAACAAATCTAAAATATATTAAACAGAAAAATTGAAAATATTATCTTTAACCTTTACCATACAATGCGCAATGTCCTAAATTCCAAACATGTTATCACTGAATATCATATCAAGATTTGGGCTTTTCAAAGTTTGCATATTTCCCTTTGACAACTACAAATAATATCAAACAATATCACATTATTACATTAAATACAACAAATTCACAATGAAAAGTTTTGAATATTTTTTAAAAAGATATGAAAAACTTACCCAAATTCAGCAAAGTCAGGTATTTGTCCCTTGAGATACCCAGTTCCCAGGCATCTTGGCATGAAATCTACATAGGTAAGGGGAGTTAACTCTCCCTGTAGTGTTTCGGCTCCCTCGAAGGCCAGGTTCTCCTCCTCCAGGACAGTCTCCCCTTTCCTACACTCTTCATCTTCGAGGGGGATATCAGGCTTCCCTGGTAGTGATTCAAGTTCCAACGTTCCCAAAGGAATTTCTGGTGTTTCGGACGTCATCATTTGTTCCATAAATCTGTTTAACACATTCAAAATAAATAAAAATGTTAAATAATAATAAATAGACAGTGCACCAGTACCCGCACTAATCTGCGGCAACAAAAAGTTCTTAAAATTCTGTGGCCACTTTTTTATAAATCTGCAACCAAATTTTGATAATGTTGTACAAATTCCGCACACTTTTAAACTTAGATTTTGTCAATTTCGAAGTTTTGCGACTGTTACACTTACGGCGGCCATTTTTATGATAAACTTGTCCACGGCAAGAATAACTTGTTGCCGTAAATCTGGAGATCAATAGTGTAATAACACAGACATGTACTTTTCGTGAGCAATAACACAAAAGTCATCTTCACTTCAAAACAAAATAAACATCCATTCACATGTTCACCAGATTTCGGCTCACATGTTAAAATTTTGCAGTGTATTTGATGAATTCTGTGGCAGATAAATGCAAAATGCTGCATGAGTTCTGCACAAAATGTGATTGTCTGCAAGATAGGTACATTTCTGCACCAAGGGAACATGTCTGAAAAATATTCCGCAACCATGGAATATCGAAATACAGCAAGGACTGGTACACCATTTACATATGTGAGGGTATCATTCAAGGATATATCAGTATTCAATACATATTCACTACAGCTTCCATATTCAGTCGACTGTTATGGGGATGCTTAAACAGTGTTTGAACCTAAGGTGAGGTGATTTGAAGTGGACCTTTACTTCACGTTCAAGATTATTTCACTCACTCGGCAACATGCACGCACGTGTGTGTGTGGCTGCTTGAACCAGACCAGACTTATGCCAGTTTATATGAAATTCCATTTTCAATGAAGACATTAAAATCATATGATTTTTAAAAGTAGAACTTTGGTTATCATGGTTATAGGTACTTGGATTGCTTGAGACAAATGTGAACTCATATCAGATCATACGAGAGCCTAATTATTAGTCCTATAAATTAACTGTCTAGCTTTTATCAATTAGTTGATGTGTATTTTTTTTTTTAATTTAGTGATCAACTTGATGTACTCCGTGCATTCCTTTCATCAAGTTAACAACCATAAGCATACTCACGTGCCACTTGCAGAATGTAACTTTGATATTTTACTCTCAGTAAGAAACAAACAGTATATATCCACGTGAATATTGCTCATGTGTAAATATAGATGTCAACATCTAGGCCTAGACATGGTAGAAGTTTACACCAATTGTGTACACAGATTCGATAACGTTTGTCCAGGTAATGAAAGTGGGAGAGCTCATGGAAATTAAATAATATTGAACACTTACTCAAACTGCGATGGAAGATGGAATGATATTTACTGGACGGAATCCAAATACACTGGGAACTCGTGCCAGTCGTGGACGTCAACATGTGGCAACTTGCCAAAATCTTAGAAATGCATTCACCAACAACCAACATGTTTGGACGTATCATGGCAACGAGAAAACAAACCAAAGAGAATAATAACAGCGTGATCAGCTAGTGATGCATGCTCTTGATTTTATTGCTGTTTCCCACGCGAATTACTCGTGCTCTTAAACTAAACTTTAACGGAATTAGTTTTGTACTGATACGGTGATAGTTGTTGTAATGTTTAATATGACAAATCATGAACAGATTCTTAAAATAGGTATTGCTGTAAGGTTGCGCGGTCGATAGGTGCGTAGCGATAGTTATCGATAGACAGGGACCCAGTCAAGCAGGTGCGCATAATACAACAACAATAAAACGAAACATGATTTGAACGAAATAGTTATTCGTTAGGGACATAAATGCACGGTAAAGGTATCATTCTTTCAAAATAAATCAATTATCTATTTCTATTTAATCTAGAACTAAAACTGTAAGGTTTGGTTCTGGGATAGTTTTCAAACAAATCGCCGGCAGTCGCAGATTGGTTTTACTTTTTAACATTCAAATTATTTTCTCCCTTTACGACACTTCCGGATCATTCAGTCAACGTTTTGAGTGTTTGGATTCTTATCTATCTTGAGTTAAGCTACTGCTCGAAGAGATTCCCCTACTAACGGAATATGTTATGCATATTTTAACAACAAACACACAGTAATTCGGTGGATTAATGGATATGCTGGACAAAAACAAAGTAAAAAAACTGAAGAAATATATCAAAGATGACAGACCCTGCAAACTAAAATCTTACGTCAAGAAGTATAGAATTTACTTGAAAGATGTCGAATTAACAAAAGGAAGATCACTTCTCCATTATTGCTGCCAACATGGATCTGGAGGTGTTTTGCGGTAATTTAACAAAATATTATTATTAAAATATCACCATGATCCTGATCATGATCATTAGCTGATTGGGTCATGTCGTACATTTATGCTATGCAACTCTACTATCAACTAGACATTATGGCTGTATGTCATGTTATGTACGCTGTGTTGATGTAGATTAGTGGAGCAATGTACCATAACTAGTATGATATGTCCTTCTTGATAAGTTCACTATTATGCATCACCATCACTCGAGTACACAGGGAGATACACACCAAGATACAAAATGAATACAAATACAAATGTATACAAATGAATATGGCTAAAAGCCACACATACATATTGTCTGATCCATGCACATGTATCATGATATATCACGCATTTGGGTTACGATGACATGCATCAACCAAGTCAGCGAGTCTGACCGCCCGATCCTGTTAGTCACCTCTTATGATAAGCGTAGTCGACTATGAAACCAGCCTTAGTCCAGACTAGTACACATGGTACAAGAATATGCACACACATTCACATGCATGTGCATGTACACTGCTCTAAAAATGATAAAGCTGTAGTAATCTTGCACGCAATGGTAATCCTCATTTCAGCTCGCCTCCCCACTTATAGTTATACACCCAAGCCTTTATTGTACCTTTAGTGCACAGCTGACACAAGCACAACACCAATGATTAAGCATGTTAATTGTACATTCGCTGTCCTACTGATACACCCAGCCATTCATGGGATTGTGCAGCTTTACAGTAGAGGACGTAACGGGTACGCGAGACGGCTCTCCCGTCTCGCGTACAAGTGACCACCTGAGAGGGGTCACTCGTATGCGTGACGGTCTGTCAGTGGACCATGGATTTCTGCATGTTGCACACAAATGTCTCTACAAGTGTTATCATGGTTATTGTGAAAATAATAAAACAAAATTACGTAGAGTCATTGATCATCATACTAGTTATCATGGTTATCGTATGACATGAAACAAATGTCATAAGAAAAATAATATACGGTCAAATTCGGAGAAAAATGTGCAAAAATTGAGCAAAATGTTCTGTTTTTGACAGTGATTTTCTCCTATGTACATATTTTTCAGAAACTAACATGACTTTTTGTAGTATTTTTATTCAAACAAATCTGGAATTTGTAAAAGTCATTGTATCAAAGCAAATTATGGTTGTATGATACATAGGTCATATACCATGTATATCATATGTAAATTTCTGAATCCGGTACAATTGCAGCAGCCCAAATGGTTCCAATTCCTTCCATTGTGTCTACATGGTGTATGTTGTTACTGACAGGTATTTGCTGACGGAGGGCGTGAGTGCTGTTGAGCCAGACAATGGTGGAGATCTCCCTCTTCATGTCAGCCTGAAGCAAGCACTGGACCTTGACTCACAGCAGTCCAGAGAAGGTATGTTAGCAATGTGTGCTGGTCTGTATTAACATACATGTAGTTATGGTATCAATGAAAGGTTTGTAGGTGTCACTTTGTCAGCCTGACATGACACAACTGTGTTGATCTACCTGACATGATACAACAGTGTTGATCTACCTGACGTGATACAACCGCGTTGATCTACCTGACGTGATACAACCGTGTTGATCATGATGGTGTAGACCTTCTTGACATGATACAACTGTGTTGATCTACCTGACATGATACAACCGTGTTGATCTACCTGACATGATACAACCATGTTGATCTACCTGATGTGATACAACCGTGTTGATCTACCTGACGTGATACAACCGTGTTGATCATGATGGTGTAGACCTTCTTGACATGATACAACTGTGTTGATCTACCTGACATGATACAACCATGTTGATCTACCTGATGTGATACAACTGTGTTGATCTACGTGACATGATACAACTGTGTTGATCTACCTGACATGATACAACCATGTTGATCTACCTGACATGATACAACTGTGTTGATCTACGTGACATGATACAACCGTGTTGATCTACCTGACATGATACAACCGTGTTGATCAACCTGATGTGATACAACCGTGTTGATCTACGTGACATGATACAACTGTGTTGATCTACCTGACATGATACAACCATGTTGATCTACCTGACATGATACAACCGTGTTGATCTACCTGACATGATACAACCGTGTTGATCTACCTGACGTGATACAACCGTGTTGATCTACCTGACATGATACAACCGTGTTGATCTACCTGACATGATACAACCGTGTTGATCTACCTGACATGATACAACTGTGTTGATCTACCTGACGTGATACAACCGTGTTGATCTACCTGACATGATACAACCGTGTTGATCTACCTGACATGATACAACCGTGTTGATCTACCTGACATGATACAACTGTGTTAATCTACCTGACGTGATACAACCGTGTTGATCAACCTGATGTGATACAACCGTGTTGATCTACGTGACATGATACAACTGTGTTGATCTACCTGACATGATACAACCATGTTGATCTACCTGACATGATACAACCGTGTTGATCTACCTGACATGATACAACCGTGTTGATCTACCTGACGTGATACAACCGTGTTGATCTACCTGACATGATACAACCGTGTTGATCTACCTGACATGATACAACCGTGTTGATCTACCTGACATGATACAACTGTGTTGATCTACCTGACGTGATACAACCGTGTTGATCTACCTGACATGATACAACCGTGTTGATCTACCTGACATGATACAACCGTGTTGATCTACCTGACATGATACAACTGTGTTAATCTACCTGACGTGATACAACCGTGTTGATCATGATGGTGTAGACCTTCTTGACATGATAAAACCATGTTGATCTACCTGACATGATACAACTGTGTTGATGTTGTAGCCTACCAGACATGATGCAACTGTGTTGATGTTGTAGCCTACCGGACATGATGCAACTGTGTTGATGTTGTAGCCTACCAGACATGATGCAACTGTGTTGATGTTGTAGCCTACCGAACATGATGCAACTGTGTTGATGTTGTAGCCTACACAGAGATGGTGCTGCCGCTGTTGGAGACGGTGCCAGAAACCCTGGAGGTGAGGAACCACAGTGGAATGACCTGTCGCCAGCTGCTGGACCAGTTAGTCAACAGGAACAGACAGGAGGTAACCTTCTCACATGTTCAGCATCCATAAAATCAGAAGGTTTTACCAAGTTGAAAATGTTGCATCCATTAGAAAATAGACACATATAAATTTATATATTTATATTATCTTTTATTTGTTGCATTTCATACCGTTTTTACAAACAGTAAAACAATGCCTTCCTTCTTACAGAAAAAATAAATGACATAATGACCAAATTTTATTTAATCTGTCTGACATGTCTGAATGCCAACTCATTAGTGCTGTGCATTTGGAAATGAACTAATACTGCTTAAGTTCATTCTGGAAGATCTGGAGTGAAGGAATATGCTTTCTTTCTTTACATGATAAAATAACATTTTGGTAAAGAATAATTTTAAGTTTTAATGGATCATTACTTCTGAATTGGTATCCACATGATCCAAGCAAAACCTGTCGTTTAGTGATATTTATGTTGAATTGAACGCTGGTATTATGCCAAAGTTCCAGAGATGTCCAGATCATTTTTACTTTGCTGCAATCCCAAAACAGGTGTCCAGTCGTTTCTATGTTTGTGTCACAACCATGTATAATATGTACAAATACCTTCTATTTCATACTCCCATTGGATGCAAAAAATAATGATTAATACCAATCTATCAACCGTATAGCATGCACACAGATTTTACTCTTCATGGACGATTTTCTTCACTGTGTCACTTTGTGTCATACAAGGAAAATTACTTCCCGGTTTTGTTTGTGTATACTTTGTTGTTGATACAGTAATCTCCATCTTGGACTTACATTTCCATGTCTGGGACCCCAACATAATGTTGCATAATGTAGAAATATACGACAAGTGGGAGTTGTTTATCAATGATCATACAATAAAACACTGCAGGGAGAATAAACCATGAGGGGCGCAGTGTTTTATTGTACGATAAACAACGACAATGAGTCATTTATTTCCCATATGAGATATCAACTTTATGTACAGCCTCTTTTAGGATGTTGATAAAATGTACAAGCTTTAAACATTGTTAAAAATATTTACCCAAAGTTTAATAATGATGACTCCCTGAATAGAATCCAACCTCGGAAATGTTGGCCAAGTCCATTTTACATGGGACTTTAGTTTGGTATTTCTCACATTTTCTCATGTCAATTATCTGTGCCTTTTCTCCTAATACCGATTGTCATATCTCTCCCACCTTTGGATGCGTACATTTGTCCACTTCATTTATCTGTGTAGCCCAGCTTCATCTATGGGGAACAACTTACCAGATACTCCCTCTCAAAAATAATGTTGTCCAATATATGACATCATCTATTTGCAAACGCACATTCTAATCTCAAGAAATGATGTCATGATAGAACAATGTTTTATCGTGAAATAAACCACGCGTGGCTGTTGTATATTGTTGATTAAACAACATTCACTTGACATTGTTATATGATAGGTCAACTGCCTCCGTGGTTTAACACGTTTAATGGAAAGAGCATCAGATCGGTGGTTCAGTCTCCGACCGTGCCATAATAAAAGACATCACAAGATGATACTTGTTGTTACCCTGCCTGGACCTCGGCATAAAGTGGATACAACAAAAACTGGTCGGCTCCTAGTCAGTATCCTGTCTGAGTGGGGTAGCAGCGGTAGAAACTACCAGTTTCAGTCCACTAGTCCTTATAATGATAGCATATAGCAAAACCTTTAAAATGGCTTATTTCTACTAGTCCTTAGGACACCTTTACTACGGGGCAGTTTGGCAAGGACTATAGGACTAGTGCCAATTTTTAACGCTGGGTAGCCATATGTATTGCATGTGGGCAACTACTATAAAACTGTGATAAGTCTTGACTAGAAGTACTAGTACATGCAGCCTCGCACGTGCATGCACGTCACTATTTGAGTTAACTAGTCTCAAACGCGACGTTAAACCCAAAGTCTCCTCTCTTTCATGATGTTCAGATACTCTACACCATGTACATCGTTGTAATGATTAGTTTTAGGTGTTGATAAAGTGTTTAGGAAAGTATCATTGGATGTGATGCTTATTTTAAAGACTAAACTTTTATTCGGCATGTTCAGTTTATGTTGTTCCCTCATTTAGATTGTTTAGCAAATAATCATTTATCCAGTATAGGTTCTGGGTTAGGCCACAGCATCCTATGCTGGTTGTACGAGGCAACTTGGTTCATTGTGTATTATCATAATTTCGATGGTTTGCATCATTGCTCATGATATCAATCACTGGTTTGTCTTGTCCTGACTTGATTATTTACAGGCCTCCCTGATAAAGCTGGAATAGTCAATTATTCAGACAATTGTCAAATCTTTTTATTAACTTGCCAGGACTTGTGCTACTTCCATACTCTTTCATCATGCCATACGGTTGACCCTGCTTCTATTCTACAGCAGGAATATTGCTGAGTGTGACCTTCACCTAACTATATTTTCTATTACCTAGGAGGAAGCTCATGCAAGGACGGTATCGGAGGAGTGGGAGAAGAAGCTAGGAGAAGAACTGAATTGGGAAGAAGAGGAGTTTACAGGCAGATACCACACGGAATACGGTGAGTCCTGTCACAGACTGTATGTGATTGTGATTGAAGTGAGTTATACGTTAACTGGGAGTGTATCGATACACCAGACTATCGATGTATTGCAATTGTTTCCCCTATGATTCTACTCTATCGATAGGAATTTAAAAATTTGAATAATATTGTCGGCAGTTTGGTTAACAATCGTCAGTTTCAATAGTTGCAATTACCGGTAGTTTTAAATAAATTATGCCTTGTGATTAGCAAGGATTATGACTACTTCAGATGAGAGTTACTTCCCTTTGGTTTGAGTAGCAATAAGGAGAAAAATTATAGACTTTGACATTGTTGACAATACTTTATTCATTTCTATCACTGATTAATCTAGAGAAAGAGCCTCAGTTTCCCACATCATACCATTGACCTGGACTCCAGATAATTTTTTTACCATATGTGTACAGTACTGTTGATTATAAGAACTGACAAGTACCAGACATATTTTTTCACACCAATAAGTACCGTAATGCTCATTTGTAGAATTGATGAGTAAGACAAAATAGCTTTTTACCTGTCCATCTCACCAGTACATCGTTTATCAGGTTGTTTAAAATTTGTGTCATTCTTTTGCTGACCACCTCTGTGTGAATTTGTAGGCCTGATAGGTTGGAAATGCTCCACCACACTATTCAAGGACCTTATGTTGTACGTTCAGATTTTTGTATGGTAACAAGTGATCATGTGAGCGTATTGTATTGTTTGCCTGCATATTTGATACAGATGTAATTTTAATCTGTCCGTATTTGGGGGAGGAGTGGGCAAGCGGTCAAAAGCACCAGGCTAGCAAGCACCAGGTGCTGATACAGATTGTATCCCGCTAGTGACCGGGCTGTATTGAGCCTTGGGACCAACAATGTTTACAGTGTTGTCACTGCCCCTAGTGTACAGTACAAACACCCTGTGCACTCAAAAGAACCCACTCATCCGATGGTAGATGACCAGATGGTGGAAACACGAATACGTACACACACCCGAAACACAAGTGTCAAAACGTGTGGTGTCACCCTGGGCCATTGACTTAGTTAGAATGTGCCTCTATTCACCCAGCAGAGAATGGGTACCTGATGTGAGGTGGATGTATAAATCTTCTAGCGCCCCTAGGCAGCTTGGGTTGTATACTCCCTAGGGAGTTGAGAATGATAACTGGAATGTGAACGGATCCACTGGTCAGGGAACAAATAATACCGCATTTGAGCAGATACTAGTACCTGGATACCTGTGTTATACAAATGTATCATATATTATATAGGTATTTGACCGTTTTTCATCTGTATAATATGCTGACACAACATCTATCCAGAGCACTGACTGACATCATCTAGACCTAGACTGGACATGGGCATAGAGCGGGCAGCAAGTTTACCTTTATTCAACATTCACTCACTCTATTACATTTCAGATTATTACGAGGAGCACACACAGGACTCCTATGACCAATGGGCAGATCAGATTCATTCCAACTACAGGTGGAAACACAGACAGAAGACGAGCACCGGCCGTGACGCCCCACCATCACACACAAAGGCCAGACACAAACAAAAAGCAGCAGAATCCAAGAAACCGCGTGTCCTAGATGAAGAAAAGTTACGACAAATCCGAGAAGAACTGAAAAGGAAATATGAAGCAAATCAAAAATGTGACGTGGAAAATCGTAAAAAGAGACGGAAAAATCTGTATGAGAAAAACTTTGAGGGTATACTTAGTAAAGACAATGAAGATCAGTTGAGCTTCAAGGATATTCCATGGCCCGGTAGAGGGTCACTGCATGACTTCACCGAGGTGCTGTTTTGTGATTTTCCAGACAAATCAAGTTCGAAATTTCGGAAATATTTGAGGGATCAGCAGATTCGATGGCATCCGGATAAATTCACACAGAAATTTGGGAAAAGACTTTTAGATAGTGACAGGGATAAAATCATGGAGAAAGTGAAAGAAATATCACAGGCTCTGAACAAGGTGGCTGAAACACTGCCAAAACAAGTCACATAGTCCCTGAAGAGATCTGAAGAACATTCATCTATTCTGTGTCTGATCAAAAAGTGATTTTGCCAAATTTGAAGTTGAACTGCTTGAATTCTGCAAGATATAGGCTTCCATTTTTCACTCAAACTGAGACAAATGTAAACAGTGATGAATATGTAATGATTGAGATCAGACTCTATTTTAGAAATAAAAGACTCCTGGTGGTTGTTTATCATTCAATAAAACACTGTACAATAAACAACGACCATGAGTCAATTATTTCTTGTATGAGATGTCTAAATTTTGTACACCTCTTTTAATGTACAATTTTAATACTGATGACTCCCAGAATAGAATCCGACCTCGGCTACGTCGGACAAGTCCATATTATGGACAGGTGGGTTAACGTTTGTATTTCCCGCATATTCTCACTATCCTCATGTCGACTATCTGTACCTTTTCTTCCAATACCAATTGTCATATCTCTCCCACTTTTAGATGTTTACATTCGTCCACTTCATTTATCTGCGTAGCCCAGCTACATCTATGGGGAACAACTTACCAGACACTCCCTCTCAAATGTGAGCTTTTGGCCACTGCATTTATCTGCGTTGCCCAGCTAAATCTATAACTCACTAGACACTACCCTCTCAAAATTAATGGTGTCCATCAAGTTGCGAGCACATGTTCGAATCTCCAGAAATGACATCATGATAGAACAATGTTACATCGTGAAATAAACCACGCTTTGTTCTTCATTGTTCTTTGCGATTTATCGTGTAGCTGTCTTATATTCAAGAAATAAAGGACTAGTGGGAGTTGTTTATCATACAATAAAACACTGCAGGGAGAATAAACCATGTGGGGTGCTTCCTGCAGTGTTTTATTGTACAATAAACAACTACCATTGATATAACAATGTTTTATCATGAAATAAACCATACTTCGTTCTTCATTGTTCTTTGATAGCTTCACGATAAATTGCAAGAACAATGAAGAATGAAGTGTGGTTTATTTCACGGTAAAACATAGCTCTGTCATGACATCATATCTCGAGATTTTGAACTTGAGCTCAAACTTGATGAGGTCGTATAGTGGATGATTTTATTTTTATGAGGGGAATGTTTTGTGAGTTGTTCTCCATAGATGAAGCTGGGCAACACAGATAAACGCAATGGCCGAACGATTGCATCCAAAAGCTTGGAGAGATATGACAATTTGCATTGGGAGAACAGGTACAGGTAATTGACGTGAGGATTGAGATAATATGCGGGAAATATCCACCTGTGAATAAATGGACTTTTCCGATATTTCTGAGGTCGGATTTTATTGAGGGAGTCAAAAGTTTGGTAAATATTTTTAAAGTTTGTACATTTTATCATCATCTCTAAAGAGGCCTCGCAGTCGTTGTTTTAACGTACAATAAAACACTGCAGGGAGAATAAACCATGAGGGGCGCAGCTCCCACTCATCATTTATTTCTCAAATATTAAATAGGTCATGTATGTTTGAAATAAACAAAATTCATGTGATACAGTTAATGCAAAAAGTCCAGAAAAGAATTCATGGTTGTTTCATTTCCTTCTTAATAAATCACTTCATTTGCACATATTTGTTTAGGCGTGGCTGTAAACCTGGTTATGGCCTTTCCATGACCCAAATGCATTGGAACCTTACGATATTTTTGGTTTCAAGATGCTGGTATGTTTTTTTCAGGAGAACAACCAACCCGGGATTAAAAGTAATGAAATATGAGCTCTCAAAACTCTGGACACTTTTCCTCCCAGGAGAGCCGGAAATTTATGAATATGTATCATTTAGTCATGGTTATAGATTGATAATCTCAAAATTTATATATGTATGTAAGGCAGAATTGCGTTATTAGACCAGAGAAAGCAGCATCTTATAAATTGAAAGCTTCCAGTCTTTTGTCCCAAGGATATTCTGTAGAAAGTCCATCTGTCCCAGAGATATTCTGTAGAAAGTCCATCTGTCCCAGAGATATTCTGTAGAAAGTCCATCTGTCCCAGAGATATTCTGTAGAAAGTCCATCTGTCCCAGAGATATTCTGTAGAAAGTCCATCTGTCCCAGAGATATTCTGTAGAAAGTCCATCTGTCCCAGAGATATTCTGTAGAAAGTCCATCTGTCCCAGTGATAGTCAGAAAGTCTATAGACTCTCCCTAGGACAGATGAACTTTCTATAGACTATCGATTGGGTTGCGGCCAGGGCAAGCCGTTGATATTGGCATTATGAGGGTAGTTACCGTGACACGAGCTGTGTGCGGTGGAGTGTTGTCCTGTTGAAACGGCTCCCTCTGGCGGTCAATGATTGGAAGAAGGTGAGGTTGAAGAATTTGATTCATGTTGCGATTTGCTGTCAAATTTCCCTGAACCACAACCAAGTCAGATCTCGTGGTGTAGGATACGGCCCCCCACACCATGACACTACCGCCACCGAATTTGTCGAATTCACGTATACAATGTGGGGCAAAACGCTCATTTCGACGACGATAAACACTTTGTCTTCCATCTCGCCGGTGAAGATGAAATCGTTATTCATCGCTAAACCACACTCGTCTCCAGTTTCTTAAATTCCAACGCTGTAAGGTATGGCACCAACGCAAGCGTCGTTGTCGATGGATATGTTGCAAAACAGGGACGATAACTGGTCTTCTGAGTAGGATTCCAGCCTCGGGAAGATGGTTCCTGACAGTCTGGTCCGATATCCTCCTCAAACCAGGGATGCGTCCTGCAGTCTCCGTAGCTGTGGCATTGCGATGACGTAGGATGGACAGTCGAATGTAGCGATCCTGTGCAGGGGTGTTAACTCGTGGTCGGCCAGTTCTCGGACGGTCTGCAGTGGAATTAAACTGTGTGTATCGGTTACAAATGCCACAACTTCCACGTGCATTTCGCGAACACCGTTTTCCTATCAGGCCACCAACAGTTTCCAATAATATGTATGTAAGGCAGAATTGCGTTATTAGACCAGGGAAAGAAGGATAGGAGGTTGAAGAATTTGATTCATGTTGCGATTTGCTGTCAAATTTCCCTGAACCACAACCAAGTCAGATCCCGTTGTGTAGGATATGATTTTGCCTGTTGCAATATATCATTTAACTAAGAAACGAAAACAAGGAAGGCAAGAGGGAATAAACGAACGAAATATTGGCCTTAGAAACCTTATACGTTATTTTGAGCGAGAAAACATTTGTTAACTTTCCCATTGAACGTGATGTTAACATATTACATCTGACGAATGTAACTAAATCGGTCATAAAATATTCACGAAATATTCCTTAAAACATAGTATCTTCCAAGTATTTCTCTTCCCGGCCCCGGTGCATTTTCTTGACTTTGATAATCGGAGTGAGTGAGTATTGTTTTATGCCGCTTTTAGCAATATTCCAGCAATATCACGGCGGGGGACACCACAAATGGGCTTCACACATTGTACCCATGTCGGGAATCGAACTCAGGTCTTTGGCGTGATGAGCGAACGCTTTAACCACTAGGCTACCCGACCGCCCCTTGATAATCGGAAAACATTGACGTTCAAGTGCGTGTGGGTTCTTACTGTGTTTTACTGTACGATAAACGTCATAGTCAACATACAACTGGAAGGTTTTGTTGAAATCACTTGACCATGCTCAATGGACAGTGCATATATTATTTGCTGAGCACCTAAAGTCTATGAACATCTAGTATATTGTGTTCAAATTACTTAATCATGTTCAATGGACAGTGCATATATTGTTTGCTGAGCACCTAAAGTCTATAAACATCTAGTATATTTTGTTCAAATTACTTAATCATGTTCAATGGACAGTGCATATATTGTTTGCTGAGCACCTAAAGTCTATATACAACTAGTAGATTGTGTTCAAATTACTTAATCATGTTCAATGGACAGTGCATATATTGTTTGCTGAGCATGCAAAGTCTATAAACATCTAGTATATTGCGTTCAAATTACTTAATCATGTTCAATGGACAGTGCATATATTGTTTGCTGAGCACCTAAAGTCTATATACAACTAGTAAATTGTGTTCAAATTACTTAATCATGTTCAATGGACAGTGCATATATTGTTTGCTGAGCACCTAAAGTCTATAAACATCTAGTATATTGTGTTCAAATTACTTTGTCATGTTCAATGGACAGTGCATATATTGTTTGCTGAGCACGCAAAGTCTATATACAACTTGTAGGTTGTGCTAAAATTACTTAATCATGTTAAATGGACAATGGATTTGCTGAGCATGCAAAGTCTGTCTCTAAACAGCAGATAGTGTTGAATTTACTCAACCATATCATTTATCATTTTGCGGGTTATGACATTATCGGTCTACAACTCCCCATTGAGCAGATATCACCTGTGACTTGTAATATTCACGAGTTAAAGTATTCACCAATAACCTTGGACTACTTGTCCACACAAATTTACACTTTGCCCTTTTACAGACATTTAATTTCTAACGAATACAGTAAAGGGTAGAACCCAGGCATGTCTGCAATGTTCACTCACTCAAATATCTTGCTTGTTAGAATATCTGACGATATTGGAGCCCAATCTCCATCACTAGCTTCTGATCATAACACCTTGGGTGAGTGAGTGAATGCTGTTTTACGCCACACTTCCTATATGTCTTTTACTCCTATACGCTCTGGTGACACCCCATTGTAGAAAGCGTTTGATAAACATTCTGAAAAGCCAATTAGCGTCTAAATTTACCGCATGAGTGAGCGAAGCATTTAGACAAGCACATTGATTTCTCTCCAAAATCAATATAATCGAGGAATTCCGTCTGCAAAAATATAAAGCCGCGCCATTATATTGTTGTGCATATGTTTTACACACTGTCGTTTCTGAGCGCCATCGTATCAATACCCAAAACGGAGTACGACCGAAGGATTATACATTTGTGTTCTGTGTGGGTGATCATTTGTACAAATCTAATTTTCCAATTCAAAGTGGTAAAGAAATGAAGCCGAATAAAGTTAGACAGCTGGCATCGAAATGGCATCTTCCTTCATGAAAAGGTGGCCAATGTATCTTTGTACTTATCAACATTAAGTGAGTGAGTGAGTATCGCTTTACGTTGCATTTAGCAACATTCCAGCAATATCAACGGGGGCACCAGAAATGGCGGGGGACACTAGAAATGGGCTTCACACATTGTACGCATGAGGGGAAGCGAACCCGGGTCTTTGGCGTGACGAGCGAACGCTTCAACCACTAGGCTACCACACATTCCTTTTAGATTGGGTGGTCAAACTTCGCTCAGGGTTCACCTGACTCGACCTCGATGGAGGTGTCCTCAAATCTTGGAGTGAGTGAGTGTGTTGGGTTTTACGCCGCTTTAAACAGTATTCCAGTTATATCGCGGCGTGTCAGCCTAATGTGGGAGGAAAGCCCGAAGTCAGATGTTTACCACTTCGGTGAAACCCACGAGCACGGGTATGGTGCTTGCAAACCTAGAAACATAATCGAGGCGAACTGGGCTTCAAAACAACAATCATAGGTTTCTGACGTGCCTAAGGGACGCAATTACGCACAGCGAATCACCTTAGACGACTGGGCCGCCCGTGCCGCCCCCCCCCCCCCCCCCCCCCCACCCCCCCAAATCTTGGAGCAGAGAGGTGTCGTATATAGAGCAAAAGATAAGACCAGACAAGTAATGGTATGAGCAAAGTCCCACGTGGTACGATAACACGTACAAATACAAATAAGATAACAACAAGGTTAACAACACATGCATCTGTCTTTTATTTCATAGACGTATCAACCTTTCATTTACAGGAGTTTGGCTCTGGAATGAATGGTCTATAGCAGTTGTTGCCGCTGCCGGAAATGACGTCATGCAGTTGTGACTTGTGGAAGCAGTGGACGTAGCCGAGAGGGGCCGAGCTTTGGATGAGAGGAACCATGTCACAGTCACATCTGAGTGTTACATATTGTACAGACTTCAGACCGTCCAGCGCCTTGCATCCCACGTTCATGATGGATCCTCTGTAAAAGTTGGAGGTGGAGGAGAAGGAGGTCGTCTCCAGAGAGGCGAAAGCGTAGCTGTTGAGGTTGGTGACGTTGTTTTGGTAGAAGTGAAAGGTCTGACTGTTAGTTATCCTGTTGAAGGCGTATGTTTGGATGGTGGAGATTTTGTTACTTTGAATGCTCATGTACTTCATGTTTGACAGTCGGTAGAAAGCGTTGGATGAGATCAAGCCAATCTGTCCATTATTGATTGAAATCCTTCTGGCAACATTGTTCAGGTCTCTGAAGGCTCCTGATGCTATGATGCCGATGCGGACACTGGAGATGGTAATAGTCTTTGCGGGAATGGCGCTGAAGGCACATGGGGCAATGGAACTGATATTGCCATTGGAGATAGTGATGGACTCCAACTTGGGCATCGATCTGAAGGCGTTCGAGGGTATGTTGCTGTTGATGTTGTTGAAGCGGACGGAGGTGACGTCGGGGAAGGCGAGTGTGGGAATGGAGGTGAGGCCGTTGCAGGTGATGGAGGTGGTGGTGCAGGTACACCCGTT